CTCCTCCTCCTCCTCCTCCTCCTCCTCCTCCTCCTCCTCCTCCTCCTCCTCCTCCTCCTCACCCCGCAGCTCCCGGAGCTCTTCGGCCGGTCCCCGGCTCCCGGGGCCGCCAGAAGGCCCGCGGACCTTCTTTGCTCCCCCCGATGCCACGGGGGAGGAGGCACAGCGAGCGAGCGAGCGAGCGGGGAGGCGCGCGAGCGAGCGACGCGGAAGAGGTCGACTGGTCGGACATCTCCTCGCGCGCGCGCGAGCTGCCGCGTCTGAGGCCATCGCGCCAGGTCGCGTCGTCGTGCCCGAGACCGTGTTTCTGTTGCCTCCCCAGCGGTGATGTGGGGCCGGAGGTCTCGACCCTTCCCCTGCAGGCCAGCTGTTCATACTGGGTCGTTTCTTGATGGCACGGGGGCCCGCAGGAGGCCCCTGGAGGCCGAAGCTGGAAAAATATGTGATTCCTGTTTATTTCCTGTTGTTTTTTGTCCTGTTTATTTGCCTGTTGTTTTATTATTCCTGTTGGAGGTCGAGGCCGAGGCCAGTTGTTTTTTTCCTGTTTATTTGCAACGCGCTGGAGGTCCAGGCCTTTCTCCAGTCAGGTGTCACGTCGACGATGGCGGGCGGCGGCTGGCGCGTGGGAGAGGGAGGAGGAGAGGGCGAATGAGGCGGACGACGCACGAAAAGCGCAGCATCATCCGCAAGAGGCAGGAGGTAGGACGGGAGGAAAGAGAACGGAGAGCATGTAGAGAACAGTAAAAGGACAAGAAGGGAGGGCGGGGGAGAATTGAGGTTGAGTCATGCATCCCCTGGCCGAAATCGTCTGAACTCCAGGCCCTCGGCAGGGAGGAAGTGAGGAGGGGAGGCGGGGATGGTGATGGATACTCAGTGTACTTTTTTGTGTGGGGTCGGTGGGGGGTACTGCACTTCTTCCCGAGGAGCACGAGTGAGGGGGTGGTGGGGTGGGGGGGGGCAGTTCTGAGGATAGGGAGGGGAGAGGAATCAGCGCCATGATGAAGGAACGGGGTCCTGAGGGAAAGGTGGCCTCTTGGGACCCGTCCCCGGTCTTCAGGACCGCGAACAACCACTTGGGATGAACAACCGGTCATGAGGAAAGGGTCCAGGACCCGTTTTTTTGCTCCACCCTCTCATGCAAGCGAAGGAGTTCCAGAAGGCCCTGCTCACCCTGCAGAAGACAGGAGGCCAGAGAAGAGCACGTCATGAACACAGACTTTGGACGCCCGCACCTCAGGGTTCTCTGCCACGCGCGGAGGGGGGTGGGGGGAGGGGGAAGGGCTTCTTAGAAGCACCCCCTGCTACGTAGAAGGCGGGGCCCTTATCTAATAGATGTGGAGGCCGGCGCCTTCCTCAGAAGAAGCCTCCTTCTAAGAAAAGCCTTCCCCCCCCCTCCCTCCACCCCCTTGTGCGCGCCTCCGAGGCTCCCTTCGGAGCCAGTTCGCGGCCGAGCCGCGCGGCCGCGAAGAGGCCGCCGGAACGGGCGACAGCTCCGGCAGAGCCGTAGCGAGGATCATCCTTCAGCGTCTGAGATTTTATTTTTTTTTATTTTTTCTTCTCCCTTTTTTATGTCTTATCTCGCTTTTGATTTTTTTTTTTTTTTTTTATCTTTTCCTTTTTTTTATTCGATCGCGTTCTTTCGTTTCGCCGCCGAGCCCCTCGGCCTTCGATCCCCGCGCCCCGCCCCGGCGGCGCGCGGGGAGCGCGACTGGCGGCGGCGCCGAGGTCTCCACCGGGGGGTACCCCAGGATGAAGGTTTAGGTCGGGCCCGTCCCTCTACAGGGGGGATGTTCCGAAAGAGTTAGAATTTAGTCAGGTGGCGATTATTGAAATTACTTTTGAGGTGTTTTGAGGTTTTTGAGGTTCCTAAGGTTGGGAATATTTTCAGAGTAGTATTTGAGGCTTTTAAGTATGGGACCGTTTAGGGGGTACTTTTTGAGTTTTTTTTTATTCTTCGTCCACACTCCGCCTGTAGGGGGACCTGCCCGACCTGAGCTCAAGGTCGAGGCCCTTCAGCGGCCGATCAGGCTCAAGCTCCACAACCCTGTCTCGGGGGCGGAGAAGAGGGGGGTGATGACTATGGGGGGGGGAATATCATGGCGGGGGCCATGATATTTCCCCAGAGTTCATGGCGCTTCTTCTTGTTTCATTACGTCTCTGGCCCCCCCGCTGGGCCGCGCACATGCCGCCGGTCATGATTTGCCCCCCCGCCCCCTTCTTGGACACCCCAAGAGGGCGCCCAAGGGGCGGGCCCGCAGCGGAGCCCGCTCTGGGGTTGCGGGCGGGGCTCGGGCGCCGGCGGAGGAGCGGTTCGCGGAGGCCCGACGTCTCAGGCTCCAGGGCGGGGGCTGGTCGGCGTCGCCCCAGCATAGGAGGAGGAAGAGGAGGAGGAGGAGGAGGAGGAGGAGGAGGAGGGGAGGAGGAGGAGGCAGGAGGAGGAGGAGGAGGCGGCGGACGGAGGAGGAGGAGGAGGAGGAGGCCGGAGGAGGGAGGAGGAGGATAGGAGGCGGAGGAGGAGGCGGAGTGAGGAGGAGGAGGAGGAGGAGGAGGAGGAGGAGGAGGGGAGGAGGAGGAGGCGGCGGAGGCGGAGGAGGAGGAGGAGGAGGCGGAGGAGGAGGAGGGGAGGAGAGGAGGAGGAGGAGGCGGCGGATGGCGGAGGAGGAGGAGGACGGCGGGAGGAGGAGGGGAAGAGAAGGAGGAGGAGGAGAGGAGGAGGAGGAGGACGAGGAGGAGGAGGAGGAGGAGGAGGAGTGAGGAGGGCGGAGGAGGAGGAGGAGGAGGAGGATGATGAGGATGAGGAGGAGGCGGAGAGGCGGAGGAGGCGGAGGAGGTGGAGGAGGCGGAGGCGGCGGAGGAGCGGAGGAGGAGGAGGAGGAGGAGGAGGAGGAGGAGGAGGATGGAGGAGGAGGGAGGAGAGGAGGTAGGATGAGGAGGAGGAGGAGGAGGAGAGTGGTAGGAGGAGGAGGAGGAGGAGGAGGAGGAGGAGGATGGAGGAGGAGGGAGGAGGAGGAGGAGGCGAGGAGGAGGATGGAGGAGGAGGAGGAAGAGGAGGAGGGGGAGGAGGAGGAGGAGGAGGAGGAGGAGGAGTGAGGAGGAGGGAGAGGAGGAGAGGAGGAGGCAGGGAGAGGGAGGAGGGAGGAGGGAGGAGGAGGAAGGAGGAGGAGGAGGAGGAGGGGCGGAGGAGGAGGAGGAGGAGGAGGAGGGGAGGAGGAGGAGGGGGAGGAGGGAGGAGGTCACCACCCACCAAACCACCCCAACCCAACCCGAAGGCCTCAATTTGCCATCCATCTCCAGTTGGGGGGGGGTCGGGGAACACTGGAAAAACACGTTGAACCCGTACCCCCCCCCCCCAACCCGACATTGGGGTCTTCGGGTTGGGTTGGGGTGGTCTGGTAGGTAGTCAATACGAATACAGTTGTATACAGTCGGGGCCCGCGCTCGCAGCGCGAGCCGGGTTCCCCTCGTCTTCTCTCCTGGCTCCCCTGCGCTCCTCGTCCGCGTCCCCCATTCCTCGTCCTGGCTGTGTCTTGCGATGTCGATGGCAGCGCGGCCTGATTGGCAGTGCCTGCCGATGTGGGGTATGCGTAGATCAGGAGGGGGAAAAACACACAGACACAATTAATCGTCCACTCCCAGGAAAATATGGGAAAATATGGGAAGTGGGGGGAAGACAAAAAACCCAGAAAATATAAGAAAATATGGGACATCCTGCTGTTTGTGTGTATTTAATTGTGTGTCCTTGGACCCCTTCATATATGTGTTCGGGTCGAACGCGCGCCTCCAAGGGGGCCACGTGGTACTATTATGTCCTTCCGCGTCCCAGTTTGTCCAGAACCACCGCCCGGGGGTCGATCTTCGGGGACCTCAGGGGAACGAGACATGACATAGACATGTCGAAGCCGGAGCCCCCTGGCGGCGCCTCCGCCGCCGCCCCTGGCGCGCTCCGCGCGCCAGAGAGGGAGGGTCCAACGCCGATACGAGAAATCCGCGCGGACCTCGGAGTTGTTCTGCCAATGTTATCGTCTCATTTATACCTCGTGGATTTAGATACATACATCTACAGAGATGTGTGTGTGTGTGTCTGTCTGTATGTCTGTATGTCTGTATGTCTGTATGTCTGTATGTCTGTATGTGTGTATGTGTGTATGTGTGTATGTGTGTATGTATGCATGCATGCATGCATGCATGCATGTATGTATGTGTGTGTATGTATGTATATATGTATATATGTATGTATGTATGTATGTATGTATGTATGTATGTATGCATGTATGTATGTATGTATATATATGTATATGTGTATGTATGTATGTATGTTTGTATGTATGTATGTATGTATTTATGTATGTATGTATGAATGTATGTATGTATGTATGTATGTGTGTATGTGTGTATGTGTGTATGTGTGTATGTGTGTATGTGTGTATGCGTGTGTGTATGTGTGTATGTGTGTATGTGTGTGTGCGTGTATGTGTGTATGTGTATGTATGTACGCATGTATGTGTTTATGTATGGATGTGTATGTGTATGTGTATGTGTAGGGGTAGGTGTAGGTGTATGTGTATGTGTAGGTGTGGGTGTAGGTGTATGTGTAGGTGTAGGTGTAGGTGTATGTGTATGCGTATGTGTATGTGTATGTGTATGCATATGTATGTATTTAATGTGTATGTATGCATGTATGCATGCATGCATGCATGCATGCATGCATGTATGCAGGTATGCATGTATGTATGCATGTATGTATGTATGTATGTATGTATGTATGTATGTGTTTATGTATGCATATATGTATGTATGTATGTATGTATGCATGCATGCATGCATGCATGCATGTATGTATGTATGAATGTATGTAGGTATATATGTATGGATGTATTGATGTATGAATGTATGAATGTATGTATATATGTATGCATGTATGCATGCTTGCATGTATGTATGTATGTGTGTATGTATGCATGTATGTAGGTACGTAGATCGGTAGGTAGGTAGGCATGTTTGTATGCATGCATGCATGCATGCATGCATGCATGCATGCATGTATGTATGTATGTATGTATGTATGTATGTATGTATGTGTGTGTGTGTATGTATGTATGCATGTATGTATGTATGTATGTATGTATGTATGTATGTATGTATGTATGTATGTATGTATGTATGTAGGTGTATTAGTAGGTATGTCTGCCTGTCTGCCTGCCTATCTGTCTGTCTGTCTGTCTGTATGTATGTACGTACATATATGTTTGTGTGTGTATGTAGTCGCCCCCTGGGGCCAACATACATCCATATCCGCCGCCCATGAGGGTCCCAGGACGACGGTTCCACAGGCGATGGGTATGGATGTATCCCCGCCTCGCTATGATCGCGTGCTTCTCTGGCCTCCTGGGAGAGCCCGTTCAGCAAGCTTACGCAGAAGCAGGCTGAGGCCGTCATCGCTGAGCTCTCCAGCCGGGAGGACCACGGTGCGTCGAACAGGTTCGGCTGGAGCTTCGCGCCCGAGATGGACGATTTCTCGAGGTTGCTTCCATTCATGGTCATGGCCTACAACGCCATCGACCGGGACTCGGACGAGATCGTGTCCAGAGAGGAGTTCGACGAATGGTTGGAGAAGCCGACGCTCGAGCACCAGACGGAGGGCACAAAGTACAGCTCGGAGAGGCTTGAGGAACAGAAAACGGCATACACAAACGTTCGGAGGTCCGCGCGGATTTCTTGGGTCGGCGCTGGACTACCCCTCCCCTGGCGCGCGGAGCGCCAACCCCAGCAAGCCGTGCGCCCCTCCGAAAGGTTCGGCTCGCAGCCAGACGGCTGAAATACGGACAGGGGTTTTGGTTTGGGAGCCGCTCCTTGGTCTCAGGCCAGGGATCTCGCCGGGGCAGGAAGGGCCCCTTTTCGTCCCGAGCTCAGCGCTCCCCGTGGCCTCCTACTGGTCGTAGTGCTTGTGCGCTGGTCTGGTCCTCTTCGTCGCGAGGCCATGGGGCACCGATGCCGCCGCTGCCCCGGACCTCTCCCGGGGTGCGGCCTGGCCAGGATCTCGAGGCGAAGCCAGCGGCGGCCGCGAGGGCCACAGGGGCCCGAGAGGGAAGGATAGCGGTGTGGTCAAGTCGGGCCTGTCCCTCCACAGGGGATATGGTCAAACGTATGTTAAAACAACAGCAGGTGGGCGATTTGTTTTGATGATTCCTGAATGTTTTGGGGTATTTGTTCGTCGCAAATTGGCCCGTAGGGGGACATGCTCGTCCGAACGGTATGGGTACCGTGTCCTGCCCCGACGGCACAGGCTGGAGGTGGTGGAGGCGAGCCTGCCGGGCTACTGCAAGCGCGGGCTGGACGGCCCCGACGGCCTGGTCTCGAAGATGCGGAGAGCCAGGGCGCTCCACTTCGAGGAGGGCGAGCGCAGCTCCATGTCCCTCAGGCCCAGGGGCGCTGCCACTGCCAGGGGGTGGCCCTGGCCCGGGCTGCCCCTCAGTTCCCCGGATCTTCCAGGGCGTCAGAAATCCGAGGGCGGAAAGGTGCCCATACCGCTGCCCTTCCCTCGGTTTCCCCCTTCTGGGCCTCCTGGGAGGCCCTCGTCGCCACGGCTGGGTTCTCGCCTCGAGATTCGGGTATGAACGCACCTCGGGATTGGCCCAGGGAGTGGTGGTATGGGTACCTTTTGGTTTCCCTCAACAATAGCCCTCCAGACATAGACATCTTCGCTACGACAGTTTATGCGCCTTCAGTGCCAAGACATGTCTGTCCGAAGAGGTGGGAAGTCGCCCAGGAGGAGTTTTCCCCTGTGCTTTCATACGGGGGGAGCTTGAGTTAAGCCTTGACGTGGCCGGGGGTGAGTTTTCTCCTGTGAATGTATAGAGAGCACATATCATCATCATCATCATCATCATCATCATCATCATCATCATCATCATCATCATCATCATCATCATCATCAGCATCATCATCATCATCATCATCGTCATCATCATCATCATCATCATCATCATCATCATCATCATCATCATCATCATCATCATCATCATCATCATCATCATCATATTTTGAAGATGTTCCACGAGTGGGACCGGAGAGAGCCCTGGAAAGCTCTCCCACCCAGCCAGGCCGACAAAGGTCGTGATAGGTGTCTACGGGGGAGGCGGAGGCCCGCGCGGCGTTGCCGCAGTCGCTCGTGCACGCGATGCACGATGTTCGCAACGCGCAAGTGGACCTGCTCGGGCCGCCAGAAGACTCGAGCGTATTTCAGAACTCGCGGGCCCTGCTCTCTGGGCTGCGTCGGGGGCCTCAGTGGGCAGCGCGAGGGGGCCTCTGCGGGCGCGCTCGGGGCCTCTGCGGGCTGGGCCTCCGTAGGCGCCCTTGGGGCCTCTGTGGGCTGCGTCGGGGGGCCTCAGTGGGCAGCGCGCTGGGGCCTCTGTGGGCGCGCTTGGGGCCTCTGTGGGCTGGGGCCTCTGTGGGCTGCGTCGGGAGTCTTAGTGGGGGTGCTGCTTTTTGAACCCTCCTGGTAGATTGGGGTCTTCAGGCAGGCCCAGGGTCCAGAGTGGCGCCCCCAGTCCAGGCTGGGCTGTGCTCGCTTCCCTGGGCATCCGACGTCGTGCTTTTGATTGCAGCGTGGCTCCCAAGAGGTTCGGACCTCCTCACGGAAACGTGCTTTTGAGGCAGTTGTTCATCATATCCAGTATGTTGATTTGCATGGAGGGGGGGATGGGGCGTGGCGAGGCCCGAAAGGAAATCTGGATTTCAAGCAAGTCGGGATAGACTTGCACGCCTTGTCGGCGTGGTGGTACATGCCATGCAAGTGAACTCGCCTGAGTCTCAAGTGTAACATCGCAGGCCTAGAGGTTGACACCGTGACACCAATGCCAATTTCGGCGGTGTGCCTCCACCGAGGGAAGAAGATCCCGATCTCGGTGATGGTGGTAATATTCTGGCTTCAAGGTGGCCGACATTTAATCACCAACACCGAATTCTAGGATAATCTTCCCCTTGTGGAGGCACCCCCCTGTGTTGGTGTTGGTGCTTATTTCCAGGCCTCCAATAATAGCCTCTCGGCATCCCGAGTTGTTTTGCTCGCGGCCAGCAGCCGCCCGCAGCATTTTTCTCGGCGAGGGCACAGGCCCAGGGTTCTCTGTAAGTTTTGTAGAACAAAGGCCGGGCCTCTACTTGCGACGGGCTGGTGACTTTTTGTTTGCGATCAACAGCGAGGTCGCGCAGGGCCGGCGACATAGATTTTGAGGACGTCCCGAGCGAAGCACGCTGGTTTTTGCAATTCCGATTGATAAAAAAACAGGGTGCCGAATACATGTGGGTCAGGGGCACGACTCCGTGTGTGTTTACGTGTGCTCCCATAGATTAGCCCTCTCCAGGGGCACGAATCCGTCTCCAGGGGCACGAGTCCGTGTGTTTTTACGTCTGTAGATTGGCCCTCTCCAGGAGGCCCCACGAGGGCCCAGGTCACCCAGGGGGGTATCTGACATGGTTGTCCCGAGTTGGAACCACGTGTTTTTTACCTGTCACCCAGTAGGGTATCTAATCTTGTTGTCCCGAACTTGAACCCTGTTTTTGTTTACAAGTCCAGGACACCCATGGGGGTATCTAACATGATTGTTGCATGGGGGTATCTAACATGGTTGTTCCGAACTAGCACCATGTGTTTTTAAGTGTCCAGGCCACCCAGGGGGATACCTAACATGATTGCCCCGAGCAAGGACCGCGTGTTTTCAAGTGTCCAGACCACCTAGTGGTGTATCTACCATGGTTGTCAGAGCTAGCGCCTCGTGTTTTACGTGTCCAGGCCACCCAGGGGGATATCCAACATGGTTGCCTCGAGCAAGGACCACGCGTTTTAGCTGACATGGTTGCCCCGAGCTTGCATCACGTGTTTTGACATGTCCAGGCCACCCAGGAGGCTATCTGACATGACTGTCCCGAGCTGGCACCACGTGTTTTACCGTGTCCAGGCCGCCTAGGGGATATCTGACATGGCGTCGGGCCCAACGCCTAATTATCAGGAAACGCACGGGGGGCCGAAAAGCGCTACCCGAACACATATCCCAATACAGACAAATGAGGGTTTCTTGCTCTAGATAGGGTGTGGCGCTTTGGGGGGCCTCTCCGGGGAAAACAGTGCGAGGATGTCCGGAGCGGGAGCGCGAATTCAGCGCATCCAGGCCGCGCACGGGGGTATCTAACATAGTTGTCCGACCTTGAACCACGTGTTTTACGTGTCCAGGCCACCCAGGGATATCTGACATGGTTGCCTCGAGCAAGGACCACGTGCTTTTACATGTGCAGGCCACCCAGGGGGTATCGAACATGGTTGTCCCGAGCTGGAACCACGTGCTTTTTCATGTTCAGGCCACCCAGGGGGACATTTCACATTGTTGTCCCGAGCTTGAACCATGTCTTTTTACATGTCCAGGCCACCCATGGGGGGTATCTAACATGGTTGCCCCGAGCAAGGACATGTTTTAACGTGTCCAGGCTACTCCTGGGGGTGTCTAACATGGTTGTCCCGAGCTAGCACCACGTGTTTTTACGTGTTCAGGCTACCCAGGGGGATATCTAACATGGTTGCCCCGAGCAAGGACCATGTGTTTTAACGTGTCCAGGCCACCCAGGTGTGTATGCATCATGGTTGCCCAGAGCTGGTCCCACGTGTTTTTACGTGTCCAGGCCACCCAGGGGGGTATTTAACATGATTGTCCCGAATTGGAACAATGTGGTTTTACGTGTCCAGGCCGCCCAGGGGGGTATCTAACATGCCGGAGCCAGGCGCTTTGACGTGTCCAGGCCGCCTAGGGGGTATCTAACATGGTCCTCCTGGGGCCTTCCTGGGGGCCTGGAACGGACGTCTAACATGAAGATGTGTTGAGGATGTCTCGAGCGAACCACCTGGTTTCACGTGTCCAGTTCGCCCAGGCGGATGTCTAGCATGAGGATGTGTTGAGGATGTGTTGAGCGAAATGCTTGTTTGCACGTGTCGCCCAGGCGGATGTCTATCATCAGGATTTGGGCAGGATGTCTCGAGCGAAGCGCTTGTCCCCAGCACGTTCCGTAGCGCGTCCCCTTGGCAAGTCCCGCGGTGCGTCCCCATGGCACGTCCCCGGGCACGCCGCCTGGCGCGTCCCTTGGGACGTTTCGCGGCGCGTCCTCCTAGCATGTCCCCTTGTCAGTTAGCTCTGGGGCACCTACTGTGTGTTCAGGCAGCTCGAGCTTAAGATCCCGATCAGTTCGGTCAGGACTCGGATGCAAAGGGGGACTCGATCCACAACGCTATAGAGCACAATCGCGGCATGGCACGTCGCAGTTCAGCACGGCGCAGCATAGCTCAGCTTTCGGCACTGTACATCAGGACCGATACATTCAGCATTGCATTTGCCCGTCGCCCAATCAGGTGTCTTTCAAACGTTGCCATGCCTTACATTTCTATAGTCCTTTCCGGGTTCGCTGGTCGATCATGCTTCCCCGACGCGCTGATGTCAGGGCCGCCCGGTGGATTCTGGGCCGTAGTTCGGGCGTAGTGTGCGGCTGTTCGGGGCGATCTTCGGGCGCCACCCCGCACTCTCGACGAGGCGCAGCCGCTGGAAAGCATCCCGAGGCTGGAAGAGCTCCAGGGAGGCGACGGCGACGCCAGAAGCTTTGCCCCAGGGTTCCCTTCCGAGCCCGCTCGGCCTCTGAGCGCGTTCGGCCGCCGAACGGGCTCAAGATCGAGGCCCCGCTGCGGCCGAGCGGGGGCTCGATCACCTCGGCCCTGGCGGCACGGTGCCCGCCCGGCTGCCTTTTTTGGCGGCCGAGCGGGCCCAGACGCCGAAGGGGCTCAGAGGGGAGCCCTGGGGGCCAGCGCCTAGAAGAGAAAGCGAGAGGCCCATGCTGCGGCCGAGCGGGCGCAGTTATGCCGAGGCCTCGTCGGAGAGGCCGAGACCGTTGGGGTGTGAGGTGCTCCCGTTGGGTTTTGACCCCCCTCGGCGGCCGAAGAGCGGTGCAGGCGCCCAGCGGGCGCAGGAGGGGGGAGCCCTGGGGGTGTGCGGGCGGCCGGAGTTGGAAGACCTCAGGAGGGGAACAAAAGGCACACAGACACAATGAATCGTCGGTTCCCCAGGAAATGTTGGAAAATATATGGGAAGTGGGGGGGCAGACAAAGACCCAGAACATATGGGAAAATATGGGGGAATCCTGTTATTTGTGTGTATTTATGTGTGTGTGTGTGTGTGTGTGTGTGTGTGTGTGTGTGTGTGTGTGTGTCCCAGGGCCCCTTCAATCACGTGCTCTTCTCTGGCTTCCTGTCTTCTGCAGGGTGAGCAGGGTCCTTTCCTCAGAATTGCCGCCCCCCCCCCCCTCGTCCTCCTCCGGGACAAGTGCGGTACCCCCCACCGACCCCTGACAAAAAAAGCATGCTGAGTATCCATTCCATCATCATGCCCTCCTCTCCTCCTCCTTTCCTCCCTGATTACCCAGGACCTGGAGTTCACGTGTTCGGCCATGGGTTGCATGAGTCAACCTCATCCCCCCCGCAATTCATTATTGTTTTTTGCCGCCTTGATGTCGACCCCCCCCTGCCCCCCCCCTGCCCGCCGAGGGACTTCACGCACCTCATGATGAAGGCCACTACCAGCCCGAAGCGTGCCCCCCTGCCCCTATGGCTGGCATCGCCCCGTCTCGGTGCCGATCTCAGGGATGCTCCCTCGGGCCCCGAGGGCTCATCCGTGGTGTCGTCATCGCCTCTGGGCCTGTCAGTCCTCGGGATAGGAGGCCCCAGCCCGCGGCCGGTTCAGGTCACGGTGGAGGGCCGCCGCCCCGCGCAGCCGCAGCCGCCGCCGCCGGAGGCGGAGCCGCAGGCCGCGGCGGCCGCCGCGGCGGCGTGAGCGGGGCCGCCGGGGGGGGGGGCCCTGCCGCCCTGAGAGGGGGCGGGTTCCGGCACGCGCGAAGCGGGCACCTCGGATGGCAGAAGGGTCGGGGGGGGGGAGGGCTGGCGGGCCTGCCGGCGGCGTGTCCCCGTTTCCCCCCCGCCCCCCCAGCGCCCCTGGACGCGCGTCCAGGCTGCTCTCCCTCCCCTCCCCCCCACCGGGCCCAGGGGCCTGAGCTTCAAACGTGCCGTCTGCCCCCACTCCCACGCCGACGGCGCGCGCTCCCATCCCCCCCCCCCCTCGAGCCCAAGGGGCGGCGAGCACGATGCCATCCGGGACGCGGAGAGAATGGGCACGAAGACCGACAGCGGTTCCTGGCCATTTTGAGCCAGGCTCGCTGTCGGTGTTGCCGCAGGCGTGTGCATCTGAGACAGAGGGGGTCGCCTGGCCAACCGCAGCCGCCGTCGGTGTTGGACACCACGTGCTGTTGGTGGTGCATCCTCCCGACATGTTCCGCACCCATTTCGGGCGCTCATATTCAGGAGCGAAAGAAGGACGTACATGTACATGAATTCACGCTGGTTTCGAGAGTACGCATTGCGCAAATGTTCGTATGACGCGGCCGGTCTCGCGGATCGAGGGGCCGTGTTCATGTACATAGCTGGGCGCGTACGTCCTTTGTGGGCTCCCCGTGGGTGGCCTCGATCGGCGGCGAAGTCCGAACCCTGCCCTCGCCGCTCGACGAGGCAGGCACCCCGATCGGCGGCAGGGGGCCGGGCTCGGAGCTCGTCGAGCGCGTGGCGGAATCCGAACCCTGACCTTTGGTCGGGCCTGTCCCCTCTACAGGGGGAATATTCAAACATGGTCAAGCCATAATCTGGGGACTACTTTTGGAGTATTGTTTGACCCTCTTGGACCATCTGTTGAATATTCTTAATTTTTCGTCGAAAATCCCCCTGTAGTCGGGGACACGCCCGACTTCACCCTGACCCCGGCCTCCCATCGGTTCACGAGAGTCGGTGCTTGGTCGGGGTATGGGGTTCGGAGGTCGCCTCCTGTCAGATCGGCCTACGGCAGCCCAGGGTGCCCTTCCGAGCCCGTGCGGCGTCGGAGCGAGCGCGGCCGCCGCGCGGGCCCTCTGGGTCGAGAGAGGCCGCTCGGCGGCGCCGCACGGGCCCCAGTGCCAGAGGCAACCTCGTCGGCACGCCCAGCAGCGTCTTGCACACCGCAAGCGGCGCGTGTGCCCACGCGGGCAGCGCGCGGGCACGGACGACTGGCCCGCCATGACCGCCAAGATTGGATGCCAGTCGTTCCCGATCACATACATGAGCGATGCATCGAGCATACATTGGGCCATTCGGCCCCCACTGAAGACCCCCTGTTGCAGACCCCCTCTTTCACCCTCCAATGAACTGTTCTCTGGCCGGGGGGCCGGTGCTTGGGGATCCTCGGGGGGGGGCTCCGCGTCGCCGAGAGGGGGGGAGGTCCTGCCTTGGGATGCCTGCCAGCAGCTGCGCCTGGCCGAGGGCGTTCTATAGGTGCCCGGATCGGCCCGGACGGCTGCCGGGGGCCCATGGTTCGGGCCGGACGAAAGGGGGGGATAGGGAAAGGGGGGGTTACGAAATCTGCTGCATGCAGCTGCCCTCGGCCCCGCCGCTGGGCCCATTGCTCGATACATGACCGCCTCCGGCGCTGGGAGGCGCCGTGAAAATCAGCTGCGCGAGCTGATTCTCAAACCTCCCCTTTGCTATCCCCCCCTTTCGCCCGGCCCGAATGGTACAGTCGGCCCGCATAGTCAGGATGCGCGACTTTGCACGGTTGCCCTTGCACCTTTCCCCTTCGGCCCGTCCTTGGTCGCTTTCGCTGGCCGCGCCCCGCCCGCAAAATGTCGGCATGGCCTTCCAAGGCCCTTGCATCCTTGTCATGCGTCCTTACTTCGGCGGCGAGCGAGGGGGGGGGGAAATGAGAAGGGGCGGGCCTTTTCAAAAGGCTCGGAAGTCCCCAAGCTTTCTGAGAAGTTTTCTAAGCCTTCCCCGAAGTTAACAGAAAACCTTTCAGAAGGCGCGAGGTCTTCTGAGAAGGCCCGCCGCCTTCTGAGAAGACCTTCTCCTTTTCCTTTTCAATCCCCCCCTCGCTCGCCGCCAATTATTTTGCGGGTTGACTGTATGGCCGGAAATCCATGCAGAAGGTGCTGATCTGCTTTCGGCCTCCAGGGGCCCCTGCCAGACTGTGGGGCCGTCAAGACACCACTCGGGGCGAAACGCCGGCAGTGGGTACAGTGCCGTTTTCAATACATGCTCCGCGTGCGCGGATCACTTATTATAAGCGCAGGGATTTAGTATTAAAAACAACGATGAGTTCAATGCATTACTTCATTCATACATTGATCATGTATTAAAAATTCAATGTGTTTAAACATCCCATGTGTTAAGAACTACCCTGTAGAAGGGTCGGGAATATCCTTGTTGGACTGGGGGCGGGGGCTGGGCTCCCAGGGGGGGCCTGTCTCCTGGCCCTGGGGCCGTCACGAAATTGTTGTTTTCTGAGGCCTTTGCACCCTGAGTCAACTCGAGGAGGAGGAGGAGGAGGAGGGAGGAGGAGGAGGAGGAGGAGGAGGAGAAGGACGAGGAGGAGGAGGACGAGGAGGAGAAGGAGGAGGCAGGACGAAATTGTTGTTTCCTGAGGCCTTTGCAAAGCCGGTTTCCCGGAAGAGGGTGATCTCCCGGGGGTTGGGCGTCGCGCAATGGGGGGCGGCGATCAATGGGGGGGCAGCGCGGGCTGCAGACAAGGGGCCTCGTAGGGCTCCTACAGGGAAAGGGCCCTTCAGGGGCCAAGAGCGGTCCTGCAGGGCCCGAAGAGTGCACCTTTCTTCCCCCTCCCCACTCAGCGCCCCCCCATTCGGCGACGCCCCAGGAGGGGGGCGGACGGGGCTCGGACGAGGATAACTCCGTTCCAACGCGTTCCGGAACAGAGCGTTGCGGAACGCTCTGGGAAGGCCGCGGCGCTCGATGCACCCTCCCAAACCGCCAGGGCGCCGAGATTCTCGATTTCTCCTCGCCCGATGCCATCCTCGACCTGGCTTCGTCTTGAGGGCAGGGGGGGCGCCCCAGTGCCCCTCCCCGCCCACGGGAGTGTGCGCTGCTGCTGCTGTCTATCGGAGGCCTGTCGGCGATGCGTCGACGGCGTATATCGCCGATCTCCGGTCCGTGCTCCCCCTGTGGAGCCAGTCTCCGCCACACAGAACTACAGGCACGGGCGCCCACCAATGGACTGCTCTTGGGCCTCAGGGAAGGGCGGCGGTTTATACATTGCCACGGGGAGTCAGCGACCTGATACACCGCCTTCCCTGAAGGTGCGTGCAGAGTTCGTCGGAGGGTATCTCTGTGTATATATATATATGTATATCGTGTATCTACATATATATATATATATATATATGCATGTGTATACATATAGATCTATACATACATGCACACATATATACATACCTATATACATGTATACATATATATGTACATATAAATTTATATACAGAGAGATATGTATAGCTATATATGTATGTATGTATGTCCATATATATATATTCGTGGCGTACAGTGCCCTCTGTCGTTTCCCTTCCGGGGGCTCAGTAGCAGCCCCTCGGTCTTGATGTTCGAGCCGAGGTCCGAGGACAGGTGTTGCGGGAGTTTCTGGAGCGCTCCCTTGACCTCCTGGTGCCCGCGGCCGGAAGTCGCCAGAAAATTCTGGCCAGGGCGCACTCAGGGACCAAGTACACGCTCACGTCGATCATGAAGGGTACCCAGGCCCCGTCGCATCGTGGACACAGTCACGACGGAATGGTTTTTGCCGATCTCGGCCTCTAGAGGCCCTTAAGCAGGGCCCCGGGGGCCGTCATAGTGTACACAAGACCTTCGGCTTCCGCCGAGAGTCAGGGGAGCTCTTCACCCCCAGGTCGCGTTTAAGGGGCCTTAGCGGGTGCGTATTCATCGTGGGTAAAGAAGAAGACAAACAAAAAACAACAGTCCAGCTGGTGAGGAGCTGGGCCCTTGGGAAGAGGGTCGGGCGCCTGCTTGGATGAGTTCCATGTCTGCTTACGGCTGTCATGGTTGGGCCAAATTGGTGACCTCTTTGCAAATTCCGCCGACTCCAGAGTAACCTCTGCAAGCCCATCTGAAACCCCTGCTATGTATTCCTGGCCTTTCGAACGTGTCAGCAGCTCAGTCGGATGAATTGCATGAGCGAGGGTAAGTTGCCGACGCGTCAGCAAGGCTAGGACTCCGTAGCACATGTTACCAGGGGTCAGCAGAGGCTACTGCGGGTTTGGAGAGGTTGCCCAGAGGTCGCCACGCAGCGGCAACCGCAACCGTAAGCAATCCAGGAGTTTATACAAGTGCTCTACGTTCCCCAGGGCTCCCTTCTAAGCCAGTTCGGCGTCTGAGCCCTTTCGGCCACCGAACGGGCAGCCGAGAGGGCTCAGTCCAGGCAGGGTCGCGGGAAACGGACGGGGCCAGGACGAGGATGAATCCGTTCCAGAGCATTCCGGCACGCTCTCAGAGCGTTACAGCACGCTCTGAAAAGGCCGCGGCGCCCGAGGCATCCTCCAGAACGGGCGGATCTCAGAGATTTTCTATCGCACGCAGGAGGCAGCTATACGCCACCACCGTGCCAAGCCAGGGCCATCCTGGCCCATGGTGTACACGCCCTCCTGACCGAGGCCAGGAGAGGGCCTATAAGCCATCCTGGGGCCCAGTGGCCCTGGCCTGGCACGGTGGTGGTGCATCGACGCCTTCGTCGGGTATTCATCCTCGCACGCAGTGATCCTCGTCCTGGCTTCGTCTGGGGGAGCCGAGCCCGCTCGGCCGCCGAGGGGCCTCGACTCTGAGCCCGCTCGGCGGCCGATCGGGCCCTCGGACGCCGAAGGTGCGCCCCGCAGGGCCGCCCCGAGTGCGGGGGCCCCCGATCGGCGTGCGGAGTCCGTGGGGCCTCGGGGCCCCCGCCCGGCCCCGGGATGCAGTCCG